TTCTAGCCAAGTTTTTTAAGGTTCACTAATGTCCTGAAGGCATAAAATACACCTATACCTCTTGGGAGAAATAATAGGGTAGACTGTCCATTAGTCTTGCTGGTGCAACCTGTTTATAAGGACAACCCTGAATTCAAAACCAGCCTGAAGAGTGATGGGCTCTATTTGTTCATGCACTTGACATGCCCATTTGCTGCTGCTTGGCCTGGAGTATATGTAGTGTCCCAACCACTATAATAGGCTACAGAATGAATGCATCCCATAAGTAATGTATCTACTAGAGTGAGACAATAACTAACCTTGAAAATTTCTGTCATTGTCATACACTGAAATAGTTTTTCTTTTGAAATATTTGCTATTCTATTTAGATTTACTTCTTTGTTCACTTGCTTCAACTAATACTGTATTAAATTTAAGAATTGAAAGTTTTGATTTAAGAAAGTAAAGGAATATCACTTTTATGATCATTTATACATTGAATAAATCTATTTGTATTCAGAATAAATTACTAGTTCACTAAAATCTGTCTGTTTGTCTGTCTAAAAAGGTAAACTCTAAACGTTTTGAGTTAAAATGTGGATTTTTTTTTTTTTTTAAAATATATATTGTACACTATTTTTCCATAATTCTTCTACACGTGTTTCTGGTTTCACAATATTCAAGCAAAGAGTTGATAAGTGAATTTTTGCATTGTAATGATTCAAATGTTTTTCTTGGACTGGTGATAATCAGATAATGCTAATAAACCAAACAGACAATTATTTTTGTCTGCAAATACAGGAAAAAAACTTCATAAGCAGATTTAAACCAGCATTAAATAGATCATGACCCCACAAAAAACACAGAATACACACATAATGACCAAATGCAGTCATCAATTCTGTTATGCTGACATAGTAGATTGCTATGTGACGATAACAGTCACAAAATATCAGACATAAGTCATAAATTCATAATGCAGTTCTATGACGTTGTATCATGTGAAAGAATGAAATGTTAACAAGAGGACTAGATGCAATATACATACATACATACACATATATATATATATATATATATATATATATATATATATATATATAATATATATATATTTTCTTATCGCCAGTCCAAGAAAGACATTTGAATCACTGCCATGTAAAAAATTCATTTTTATATTTGCTTTTAGAAGGTTGTGAAAACAGAAACCCGTGCAGCAGAATTGTGGAAAATAGAGTATAGTATATATTTTGAAATAAAAAAAATAAATATATATATGTATCTCTATCTCCGAATGTAATGATAATGGAAATAATATAAATTCTAATGTTCACAGCATTTTCAATAGAGGGCTTTATATTAAGGGTAGAGCAATAATTATTTATTATTATTTACATAAGGAAAAAAATCAACTTGCTCACTACAAAGATGCATTCTTATTTTGATGTGGCTGCATCTCAACTGGTGAGAACTGTGAATGGTGATAACCATTTTTGCTTCTCACCAGTTGAGATGTAGCTGCATCAGAATAAGTGCATATTTGTAGTGAGCAAGTTGTTTTTGTCTGCTTGTAAATATATAATTAAAATTTAAACATTTAAACGTTACTTTTTAAATGGATACTCATATCTGAATAGATGCTCTGTTTTTATTAAACGGTATGTTTATTTATTTATTTACATCTACCAGCATGAATATTTGATAAATCTTAGAAAAATCTGTCAGATTTAAATCCCCCCCCCCCCCAAGTCTTTGTTTACATTAGGATACAATAGAGCAGACATGTATATTTCGAGAATCTGGAGGAAGATGTATGTTTCAAAAGCACCATTCGGGCTTTGTTTGATCAGGATGTCCTATGTGGCACATCAGATCTTATGACTGTTTCCTCTATGGGATGCAGGTTTGAATTCTACCTGAGGACACATATTTTTCTATCAAGATTTCTCGAATATTCAGGTCAGTAGATTTAAATAAATATACTGTTTTATTAATTGCATTAAAAATTTGACATTTATGCTCTGTAAACACTTTGGATAAGTACAGTTAATGATTAGAATCTTTGATTAATATCTAATTCTACATAGCACCCCACTTTTCAGTACATTAGGTAAACATACCACTGGTGGAAATGATATTACAAATTGTAATTTACAGTATTTACATTTTCTTTTAATACAAATGTACAATGTTAACAAATATTTACTGTAAAATGATTGACAAAAACGTACTCTATTTACTTTTATCAGCTTATGCACACACACACACACACACACACACACCGGGTGTAACAGTAAAAGTGTCCAAGTCATGTAAAAGCAAAATTGTCCATTTGTTAGATTAAGCTTTGAACTGTTGTATCTTAGACATGATTAAAGATATCTTCCTGGAATTCTCTGAGGTTTTTATAACACTATTAGACTGTACTCTGAGCAATAAGAATGTATAATTACTCTCTTAGTTGAACAGAAGTAACGTGATGAAATCTGTCATAAAGGAAAATGACATGTTCATCATTAATTAATCATAGCTAAGGATTGGAAGCTCATGAAAGATTGAAATTAAGTTTATATTATTCCAAGATCATTTTCCAACTTATTCAAGATGATTTTTGCCCTCTTTAACCTTCTAACTTTCTGTCCTGGGGTAACATCACAGGTTTTACGTAAATTTCATTTTCAAGTTTTTTTTCACTGCTCTTTTGTCATAGCTGAAACTCCTCTCACATGCCAAACATCTTATGGGTTGAGTTTGATCTTTCTAATTGGTCTCTTTAGCTCTCAGTTGAAATGATGATCCCTCTTCCTGTTGTGACCTCCTGATCCAGTTTTCCTCTCTACTATTGCCTCTTTTTTAAACTTATTCACCATTCTCTTGATGCTTCTTGAATGGATTTTGAAGATGGAAGCCAAAGTTGGCACCATTGCTGAAGGTCTGAATGATCTTTTCCCTCTCACCATTGCTCAGTTGGGAAGGCAGTGGGTCTGACACAAAATGATTTTGACCTGTTCTCTATCTAGCTGAATAACTCAAAGGATTTTTCAATGATTCTTATGACAAATGGTGCCAAGATGGCTAAACGACTTCTATGAAAACCTGGAAAAAAGAAACTAGATTATTTTAGTGATTAGATATTAAACATTTAATATGATGAACAATTATGCTGTTACACGATTTGGACAATTTTGATATATATATATATATATATATATATAGACCATCATTTATACTTAGCTTTAAATGTTTTTCAGCGAAGGTAGACACTTTATTGTCTATGTGACATTGTTATTTGGGATTGAATTGAATCCTTCATAGGTTTAAGGTGTGTTTCTTTGTCACATTTATTAGACATTTAGATCATGGTTAAAACTGTTGAAAATGTGATTTGCAACTCTATTAATTGTTAAGAATTGCAGTTAATGCAACAATATAATTTTCTCAATATACTAATCGTTATATACAAACATGAGTCTTTAAATCATAAACATGTAAAACATTGTTCATTTTATTGGTTACTTTATATATGCTTGTATGCAGTGGAAACAATTGCCATTATGCAACAGTAATTTTAAACTTGACAAAGGCAAATATAGGTACCTCCAAAGAAAATCAATGCCTAAGTATTAAAAATAATTTAAAAAAATGAAAAATCTTTCTTGAAACTTATTTTAGTTTTAATTTCAAGCTAATAGATTAAATTTAATATTTCCCATAATACTTTGCTGATTTTAGCCATAATTATTATTCTCTCAGAACAAAGTGATTCTGCTTATGAAAAATATTTCAAAAATAAAATATACTTTTCTGAAACTTAATTTAGGAAGATTAGCTGATTTAAAGTTTAATCAATCTCATTTGAATCAAATATAGCATTTAGTTTAAAATATTGTAGAAAAGCAATTTTAACATGAATGTGGGTGTTTTTATCTGGTGTTGGCAGCCCGACAGACATAATGTGGGCGCCTTTTTTATATAACTTTATTTTTAAAAAAATGAAAACAAGAGGAAATTTAATTTAATAAAAACTTTTAAAATAATTTTAATACTGCATTTACATTCACTTATTTTTCTAAAGTTTTTTTCTTAGTATTCTGCAAAATTGTAATCGATATAAAGAGTTCATTTGGTTTCTTTTATTTTGCCCATTGACTTAATTGAAAAACATCTTTACTGTTTTGTTTTACTATCTGGTCATCTAACCATCTTCATAATTCCATCTTCCTAGAACAGTTTTGTTTCCTCAGCAAAGACTTTACATGAAATCTTTTTTTTTTTTTTTATTTTATTTTATTACCTGTTCATGAAAGAAACATGCAGTCTATTGTTATCCTGAGGGAATATGACTTGCAACCAATTCGTAATGATTTCTGTTGAATTTTTTTCTTCATGAGTTCCAATCCCGCTATATATATATATATATATAGATCAGGTAATGGGCCCATTTCATTTGCTCTATATGTTGTTTATTTTCTTCATTTTTCAAGATTAGAAGCAATAAAAATAAATATGTTAGTTTTGATAAAATTAAAAAAATAATACCTGCTGATACAGTACAGTCAAAAGTTGTTTTGAAAGGAAAAATAAAATAAAAAATTTACATTTGATATCAAAACTAGCCAGATTTTTTTTCCTCAAGAAAATATGAAATGAAGAAATACAAGGCAAAAATGAAGACTGATGGATCATAAATGTTTATATCAACAGTAAATGATAGTTGAATGGGAAAATAAGAAGTGCAGAATTATATGGACATCATCACGATATTGTTTTATAGAAATTTATTTAGTTTTTCTTGAAATATATTCAGATTATTTATTGGTTTTGAATCAGTTACAAATGTGTGGAGAGGAAAAAAAACTCAATTCAACTTTATGGAAAACAAATGTGTGTTTTTGTTTTTAGAGTTTTCTTATTTTATAATATGTACATTCAAAGATTAGAATCACCTTTTGTTAATTATAAGACTTGGTTTTTGGTATTCTTATTTTTCTTGAATTAATTATCTGAATTTTTCTTTTTAGTTGTCTGGCCTCTATGATGCTAAGCCACCTGTGTCACGGGCCAAAATGGCCTTACTGACCAAATGTGCAATCAAGGCTATAAAATTTTATAAACATGTTGTACAAAGTGTGGAGAAATTCATTCAAAAGGTAAATTTGTTTTTTCTTTCTTCTGTCTTTGCAATTCATAAAGTTACTCAATAGAGAATATTTGCCAATTTCAGAGGGTGTTTTGGGATTCAAATCCAATTAATGACTACTTTTGTTTAGATTTTGCTTGCCTATTAAGATTAATATAAATGATTGCACTTAGAGAACAAAAGTTATATCAAGAAATATATCTCAAGTGACATTATTATTACTTTTATTTATAGATTTTTGTTTAACTATTATGGTTCATTGGGATTAGCATTAATTTATTTGTTTTAGAGTATTTTATAGATTTTGATGGCTGCTACTCAAATATTTACATTTATATTCTATTTTTCAATATTTTTTACATTTATAGCTTAACATTTAGTTATGGATTTTTTATCAAAAATTTTCACTGTATAACATTTGATCTGAGTGATTTAATATTCAGCAGTGAATTAAGTGCATTGATGAGAAAATAAATTTTTATTTATTTTTTAATCATTCCATCCCAAGCATGGTGGTAAAAACCACTAAGATACAAGGAGTTACTAAAAGAATGGGATTCAGAAATGCAAGCTGACAATTGATGTGGCATTTAAATTTTTGAAAATCATAGTTGCTAGGTAAGCAAGAAGGTGGGAGAAAATTTCACACGCTATACCTGTGAGAAAAGAACTGTTAGCATATATGTCTTATGGTTATGTCTAGCAATTTCAATGATAAAATGCTGAAACCTTGCTGCCAATCTAGTACTGTGCTTAAAAAAATATCTTTCAGTTCAGGATTTAATAAGAAAGATTGAATCGAACCAAAAACTCGACGTCATAAACACCATAACACCTCAACTTGTGAATAAGACTGGTATGTCAAACACCTTACACAGCTCAAGCTTCACCATTCTTATCTAGAGCTTGACAGACTGTTTCAACAATGATCAATAACACATTGCCTGTTGACTTAGGGAAGCAAAATCCATATTGTCTGTTTGAAAGAAGATTCTGTGATGTGAGATGCTTCACCATTTGACTTGATTAGAGCCTCTAGTACTTTGCTAAAAAGAAGTAGAAGACTAATAGGTCAATAGTTTGAAAAATCTGGTTTGTCAAAGTTCTTAAAAACAGGAATTACAGAAAAGGATTTCCAACAAGCTGAAGGCAAGTAGCAGCAAGGCATTTATTGTAGATGTTAGAACAGGAGCCAGTTCAGGAGCACATCTCTTTATGACTATTGTAGGAACATCATTGACACCACATGCTTTGTGGAGATCAAGTTTAGACATAAAAAAATAAAATGTAGATAGTTATATGTATATCACACAGATACTCGGTTTTAAGTGGAAAATTGGACAAAGTCCATATAAGTCGGTTGTAGAACTGGAAGAGAATTTACAAGCAAAGTATTATGCTTTTTCAACAGATGATAATACCTAAATTGATATCTCTTTTCTTTACAATACAAATGTGATCATATCTTAAATATTGTTAATCAGCAAGAGAGAATTTTTTTTGTTATTTTCAGTGCAAACCAGAATATAAGGTCCCTGGCTTATATGTAATTGATTCTATTGTGCGGCAATCACGACATCAGTTTGGAGCAGAGAAGGATGTTTTTGCTCCAAGATTCACAAAAAATGTTGTTATGACATTTCAGAATCTTTTTAAGTGTCCGCCTGATGAAAAGGTAAGGATTAGTAAATATGTAAATATTGTGGATTTTTAGCTGTTTGATTAATGTTTTACTATTGGACCAATAGGTCTTTTACTTTTCATTTTATGAATTTCTTTGTATTTTTATTGAGTTCGTTAAATGTATAGATTCTAATTGAAAATAGATAACATCTCTAATAATACTTAAGGAAATTAAAGATTAGTTCTGAATTTGTTGAAATTTGTGTCTTATTATGTTTGTCCCCAAAGTTTTATTTGGCCTATTTGTAATCTAGTTCTTCTCTAGATAATTGGAAATAAAAGAACATATTAAGAAGTTCCAATTGAATTGGTCATTCAGTCTTACAATTCTGTTTTTTTTTTATTTTGAGAATAGTACATTTTTTAATAGATTTTTTACTCTAAAAATGATGATAATTTGTACTAATTCAAAACTTTTGAAGTTTATTATGAATAAATCATAATAAATACCTGAAGTAAGAAGTTTTCTATTCAAATGAGATTCTTTACTTTTCTCTGTTTATCTTTGTGAACTAATTAAAAATTTTATAATTATTTCTCTAGTTTTAACATTGCTTTTGCAAAAATCAACAGACAAAATGTCTATTCATAATTTTACTAATTTAAAAGTTAAACTACCAATCTTTTTTGTAGAGCAAAGTAGTCCGTGTACTAAACTTGTGGCAGAAAAATGCGGTTTTTCCAGTTGAAGTTATTCAACCACTTTTGGATCTTGCAGCTGAACCAGGCAACCCAGAATTAGTGGCTTCTGGTACGTAGACACATTGTCTTTATTTCTGTTGAATAATGGAACATTATTTGGACTAGTTCTGTGTTTTGATTTACTTTCATTTAATGACAAATCTTAATTTGTTTAATTACATATGTTTAGATAAACATTAAAACTTTATTTTTTTTCTTTATTACATAGTTTTATTTGATAGTCTTTCTGACTAATTTTGGTTGTATTCATTTACAGAATTCATTATCTTTGCAAAAATAATGTTTTGTTTTAGATGTAGCAGTAGTATTACCATAGACACTGATTTGGATGAACTTAAATACTTATTAAAAAAATGTGGGTATTCAGTCTATTCATATATTGTTTAATAGTGTTTAAATTATCTCTATATGTAATGCCTAGCAGAAATGCTAGGTAAATTAATTGAAAATTTGAGTGAATCAACAAAAGTAGTGAATGTCTAAATGTATCCATGATTAGCTATTTTTCTAATAATTTAGTAAATGAATTTGCTTCTTTTCTTTTACAGCTCAACGAGCTGTTGATGGCATTTTGGCAGCTAACCAAAAAACTGGCCCTTCGGCCAACCAGCAGTCTGGAGAGCACCATTCTCATGATTCTGCAACCCAAGCTCGGCATGATAAAGACATCCCTTCTGCTAACAGTGTCTTAGAAGCACAAAATGACATGTTGGAAACGGTCAAGCAATTGCTGCAGCAAACTCAAAAGGTCAGCTTTACCTTTTTACGTTTTCTCAGTGTGAGAGCTAAAAAGATTCAAAAATGCGTTGCTTAATACCTTATTCTAGCATGCAATAAAATATGATAATATCTCATTCCCCCGCTTTTTTCTTTCTTGGGAGGAAGATAAAATAACATTTTAAAATCAGAAATGCAATGAAGACACAAATTTCTAAGAAGTTTGAGGTCACTTTTAGGAAGTAATTAATTTTTATATCAACTAATAGATTAGTAAGTAATAGTTATAATTGCAACAATTTAAATAGGTTGCTTTCTAATTTAATATTTAACTATACAGATACAAAGTGTTTACAACTTTTGTAAAACTGCATGGGATTTTAATTTGTTGTTTTAATTATTGAATTATATATTGACTTACAACAGATCTTATTTGACCTTATGTCTTCTAAATTACATGGTAAAGAAATGTGATGTGTGCAAAATTTGTGACAATTTTATCTCATTTAAATAATAAGTAGAAGAAAAGTGTACATTCTGTTCTTGTTTAAATGTTTATTGAACATTGATAACCTGACCAGCAGGATGATTGAAACTTTAGCTGAATACTTTTTCTGTAAACTTGTGATACTTGTGATGGTCAGATGCTTTTTAAAATTAGAAATAGATGCATATGTGTTAGAGGAAGATATGTATAATGAAGGCATGCACTGCATTCTTGACTAGACTAACTTCTTTGTTTTGTATTTGATGTTTTCTTTTGCAACAGCAGCCGACAAGTCTAAGTGCCCAGCAACAACAGCTTCAACAACTACAGCTGCTTCAACAGCAGTTGTTACAGCAAACAGAATTGATGCAACAACCTGCCCAGCAACAGCAGGCAGCAGCAATCATTGACAGTAATCTTCTTTCTCAGATCCAAACGCTGACTAACCAATTGCTCAACAATCAGATAAAGACCTCCAATTCAAAACCACCAGAACCAGGATTTAATAAGGTGACTATATATTTTTAACATTCTATTTGTATTTACATATATTTCTCCTTGTTATGGGCACTTGGCTGAATGGTTAGAACATTAGACTATGAGACTTGAGTTCGAATCTCCCCAGGGTTGATTTGTCAGGAAGGTGACTTCTTGATGTTATTGGTCTGGAGGAGTGGCAATCACAGCGTGCAGCACGTTTTGGGAAATGCCTGAAAATGATACCATGGCTTGACCAAAGTCTTGGGAGTGAAATTGATTAAATGGAACCCTTGGGAGTCATCGATGGTTGTGCTAGCACAAAGTCACAAGTTATCGTGACAGAGGGCTTGCGAGTGCTGTCCTTGTTCCAACTGTTGATCATGCTACATAACGTGCATCCTCCCAGAAACTATAGCTAAGGTTCACATAGCATAGTTGCAGTATAAACCACAGGTGGACTCTGTGGGTGTTGAACAAACAATGTTCTTGAGCAGGCGTCTGCAACAAGGATGGCTAGCCACCTTAATAGATTGGCATCATCGTATACAGGTGGCTATGCCTTTTAGATATTTCTCTTGCCACATTCCACCATCCTTGTTCAATTAGTAACTGTTGTAAATTGAGTTTCAGGTGATTCCACAGGGATGTTGGGTTCTCTCTGATGAAGCAATAAGTGAATGATGCTTGTGAGTTAGTGAAATGTGATTATACTTTTAGAAGTAATATTTGGTGACAATTAAATGTTTCCCAATTTAAACTTTTTTTTAGAAAATACAAATTTATTTTTAAAAACCTACATCTAATAGAATGTGATTACTGAATGTTTGAAACTTTGTTCTTTTATTTCTTGAGTGTCTGAAATAAATTTAACCTTTTTCTTTTTAGAAGTTACTTGACTTTGATTATGGTGAGAGTGATGATGATGATGATAAACATGATGAGCCTAATGAAAGTATACCAGGGTGAGATTTTCAATTTTTCATTGTATATTTTCAATATAGAGGAAAACCATTTAAAAGCATTATGTCTCATGCAAAAAGTATTTAATGACCAATTTCTAATAATAAACACAAATTCTGATGTAGATAACAATTCATAATGATAAAGTAAATTTTAGTTAAGTAAACAAATATGGGAAAATAACTTGCTAGTATAATTAGCATGTCATCGACATCTTTTCCTCAAACATTTATTAATTGTTGATATTTTGAAAATTTTAGGTAAATAAGGAAAGAAATTTAAAGTGCCTTGTTTTGCATTCACTGTGTCACAAAACATTTTTGTCTTTTCAGAAATGTCCAAAATATTTTAAATGATCCAACTATCATGCAGCAGATTCATCAAATGTCACAGACGATAAAAAAGACTGAGCAGCTAAAAAATGAACTGAATATACAAGAACAACTTCGACAACAACTTTTAAAGCAGCAAGAACAGGAATTCAATCAACAAATTAGTCAGGTGAGCACTTTTAGTTTTAAAAAAAATTGATTTTTACTTGCAAATCTTGAATTTTGTGTGTCTGATCATGACTATACAATAACTATTATTATACTTAATAATTATCATTTTGAAAATGCTTGTAAATAATGAAATGAGGTTTACGGTAGTTGAATATGTGGAGAGGCACATAACCTTCACTGGCATCATTTTCTTGCTTTGATAGTTAATTTTTTTTTTTTCCAATCTATCCTATGATACTTGTGCAAGAAATCTACTCCAACAAAAATAAAAACTCTTCATGTCATTGTTTATATTTCCCCTCTCATTAGTAAGTAATGCTCAGTTTTAAAGCTTTTTTGAATATACAAAATGCTGTGGTTTTTCACTGATTAATTTTCTATATGTTAGTGGGCCTTTTTACAAGTTAGCTTCTTTGTAGCAGTAGAAGAAAAGGAGACTACATTGCTGATTTGATTTTCTCTGGCATTGGAATTGAGTAAAATACTAATTGAATATTGTCAATAGCTTGAAAGCAACATATTTCTTGATTCTGACTCCCCTGTTAGAATTCTTTCTTATCTATCTACTTTCTCATTTAGATACTTTCTGCACCTGACAAAAACTTAGAGGTTATTTCTTGCATGGGCTTAAATTGGAGCTTCATCATGAACATCTCAAGAGAATTTATATAATGAAAATGAGATATGAGAATACTAATGTTTTTTTTTTTTTTTTCGTATTGTAAAACTTGACATTAATTGGCCAGAATTTTTGTATTTTTCATATTTTTATTTATTTTTCTGTCTTTTTTCTGATTTTAGGATGCTGCACCACCAATACCACATCATATGCCTGTACCACCTCAGATGCCTCCTCAGCCTCCTCAAACACAGATGATTCAGCCTCAGGCCCCTAATATGCATCCTGCACCTATGCCATATTATGTGCCAGAGCCTCAATATCCACCTCCTCCTAGTCAAAATGATCTCCCTGACCGCATGGAAATAGATGGTCGACATGACCGACATTATAACCAAATGTCTAATGCAGATGTGATTGTGATTGATGACCAGCCCGAGATTCACAAGCCATCCCGTAATAGAGATCGATCAAGGTCTAGGTATGGCCATTATTTTCTTGTCTTAATGTCTGAAGCATTTTCTTAAAATGAGATCTTCATACAAGAACTTAAAATACTTGTGCTGATGGGGACATTAACAAAACACAAAACTAACTATTGGAGAGTTGTCTTTTTTGTTTCCCCTATGTTGTATCTTTGATAATTCATATGATGATGCTGAAAAGTGTGATATTTAAAAATAAGAAAACCTGCCATTGGGAATTTGTTTATGGTTTCGTACACAATTCTTCACATTTGAATAAAAATGACTTCACTTATACAAAAATATTTTGTAGATACTTTCCACAAAAGACATATATTTTGCAAATTTATTAACAAAAAAAAAATGTTTTTTGAAATTTTTTTCCTTTCAGATCGCCTCGACGGAAGAAGAGGTCAAGGTCAAGATCGAGATCTAAGGAACGGCGAAGAAGATCTCGGTCACGAGATCGAGATAGGGATCGAGGTGGAGATCGGGACAGAGACAGGGATAGGCGCAAGAGATCACGGTAGGCATCCGCTCCTCCATTTCTTTACCTGTCTCTTAATTTTTATGTATTTATTTATTTATATTTTATAAAGATTTCCCAAAATACTTTCCTATTAGATATTCATGTTTGTCATTCTCTTAATAAAAATTTTTGTAGCTCTCGTGAAAGAGAAAGGGAGCGACAAAGAGAAAAAGAAAGAGAACGAAGACGTAAAGGATTACCTAATATTAAAGAAAGAACTCTTAGTGGTAAGTAAAAGCAAAAATTTTCCTTCCAACTCTATTCATATGCTAAATTTTGATCTCATTAATTTTGTATCTCATGGCAATATTCTACCTTTTGATAATAACAGATATAAAAATGTCTTCTAATGCAGTCTCCATAACCAGAATCTGAAATTTAAGAAAAAAAATTTTATTTACTGTGATTTGCTGTTTAGAGATGAAATTTGTTTCCAAGTTCCCCCTTCTCCATTTTTTTAAGCATATGGGAAAGTTTATTTTTGTTTAGCCCTTAAATTTGCACATTTGAAAAAGGTTAAAGGTAAATACTGGTGAAAAAATATTTTAAGTTGAGTTTAAATTATAATTGGTTGGATAAGAGAATGTGCCTGATAATTTTTTTTCCTTCTATAACTGTTTATGTTTGGTAATAATCACATACTGTCATAGATTTTGATGATATGAAAATTTAGTTAATGGAAATTTTATATAATTCATATTTTGTGGAAAGATTATATATATTTAATTTGATTTTAATTATTTTCTTTTTTTAGTCTGTACTAGAACTATATGGCTTGGACATGTTGGAAAAGTGACTACAGAAGATGAGCTTCGGTTAGAAATTGAAAAATATGGTGCTGTTGAAAGTATAAATGTAAGATTTGTACAAATTTTTTTCCCCCCTGTTTATCCTTCCTTATTGAATTTGAGTGTAGGTTTAAAACCACCATTAGTTAAAAATTGCTATCTTAAAAGCCATATTTCTGACTTGAATCTTGAAATCTTGAATTTTTTAATTTAATTTACATAGATGATCCCACCCAGGGGTTGTGCATTCGTGTGCATGGCACGACGCAAAGATGCTGCAAAGGCAGTTGAAAAATTAAAAGGTGTCAAAATTAATTCAAATCAGTTAAAGGTATGTAAAATTATTTCTTTGGTTTTCTTCTCATTGTCTGTTTTTTTCTTTTCCTTTTTGCTTCTTTCTAGAATACAAAAATTGAAACAGGCAATGCATTTCCTCCACATACAGATTTTCATTTTCCATATTAACTGAATTGTTCAATAATATAGAAACATTTGGAAACTCCTTTGTAATTTTTTTATACTTGTAATAACAATGTGATCACCTAAACAGGTGCATATAAAATGTCAAGAAAGTCAGTTTTATCAAGTTTCAGTGGATCAAAAAAGTGTCTTATTAGCCTCTACTACTTGGTATTTGTAGATATTCTATAAATGCAAATGCTTGGGGTTCAGATTTAATTAAAAAGCATTATTTCAAAAGCTGATTTTTAAATTAAGCACTTGTAAGATGTCTTTCTAGCTGACATTTCTCTCTATTTGGTTTTGTGATTGACATCAGCAAAGGAGGTTTGTTTAGATTGGCTTATGTTCCAAAATGAATTAAAAATAATAATGGATTAAAATAAAGATTTTATTTTTGCATAAAATCATTCATTCTTATTGTTATAGCAATTTAAAAATAAGTTAATTTGTTAATATATCTCTGTAAAACTGAATATACTCAATTCTTTATCCCTGTTATTTTTATTATCAGGTTGCTTGGGCTCCTGGTATTGGTGTGAAAGATGCAGAATACAAAGATCTATGGGATGTTGAATTGGGTGTAACATACATTCCTTGGGAAAAATTGCCACAAGATTTGACTCATTTGATGGAAGGCGGTATGATTGATGAAGAAACTGTACCTGATCACCTTAAAGGTAAACCTCTTAGCATTGCAAAAAAATTTTATTTTTTTTATTTTTTTTTGCTATTGTCAATACTCTGAGGAAAAGTCATTACCATGGTAACACTGCTACTTAGAAATGCTGTGTGGAATTTAAAAAAATTAAATAGTTAATAAAATTAAAAAATAAATATCTATGAGCAAATCAATGAGATTTGTACATAGGAAATATGTTAAAATAAATTTAACCATTTTGATGTTTTTAAATCAAAAGGTTTATATATTGTATATGGGAGAATAAAGAATTTAATGAATCCTTGATTCTTATATAGACCTTTTGTGTTTGAATTTTTTTTTTTTTTTTTCCTCTACAATTTTTTTAAATGTTGTGAAGGATTCCTATTAAGATGTCAAACATTTTTAGAAACATTTTGTTCTTTAATTCAGACATTCATACACAATGTGATGCTATTGCATTTGTAAATGTTTTATTTAACATTTTGGCAGGTGAAGGTCTTAATATGTCAATACGAGCTGGAGTGCCTGGCTTTGGGAGAGAGCAATTTATTTATATTTTCAAAATACTGTGCTAATTGACATAATTACTGTGTGAATTCTTTTTAATCAAGAATTTTTTTCTCTTAATGTTAGTTGCCTCATTTATTTCTATTCAGTCCTTTATTATATAATGAGGTTTAGTTAGTACCATAGTGCTATTTGTTAAAATTAGTAATTTGGTACTCTTGTACTAAAATAGCAAATTTTTTCTTGTCAAATTTAGAAAAAATTTTTTTTTTTTTTTTTTTTTTGTAATGGTGTATGAAACTAAGGGAAGGTGACATAATAAACATATTGTGAGAAACAATCATAAATTTTAAGCAGTTTCAATTGTTGTTTTGACCTTTAGCATATGCATACCTGTGTATTTGTGTTACTAGAAACAGTGAGAAAATACAGTGTAACCCGGATATAAGAGAGATTTTCTCTGGTCCCGAATTAGAGCCTGTGTTAATGTAAACAAAATAGACCAAACCCCGATATAAGAGACTTCTTCTCCGGTCCCGACAACTCTCTTATATTCGGGTTACACTGTAGTAACATTTTGCCTATTGAAATGTAACCAAGATTGTTATTCTCATTTTCAATTTCTGTTAAGATTGAAAAACTCATAAAAGTGGAAGGGACCTGCTCTGAATCTAGAACTTGATCAGAATAATAAAATTTAAGTGGATGCTAAAAAATTAGTATACAGTAACTTGGTCAAAGCTAGTGAAATGTTATTTCAAAATCAAACTGACATTACCTGCTGGCCATCTGTCTGGTATTTTATTTCATATTACCCCAAATATGAACTTATTTTCTTAAATGGTTGTCCCAAATACACCAGGTACATGATTCATCCCCATAATCCAAGCAGATTGAATATGAGAATATGGCCAATTTAAAATAGCCCCAAATTAGTACAGGTATATGAAAATGATAAATTTTCAGACAGGGTGGTGAGTATCATCAGTGGGTATTAGCGTGTAGTTATCTTAGTAGGGATTGGAATTTTTCTTTACTACTAACCTTTTAGTTAGCTCCAAGTAATTTTTACAAATAAATGTTTACATCAATGTCTACAACAATTACGTTTTCAGTTTGTATAGTATCACAAAAAATATATATTTCTGTAGTTTGATTGAAATAGTAAATTTGACCATAAACTGATTTTGGTGTCCTCTTGTAGGACAGCACCACCTATAACCATATCATTTGGAGTATTTTATAAATATTTACTTGAAATTTATTTTCTTTATTCTATGACTGTAGTTCTTTTTCTTTTATTTGTAATAATTTAAAATTTCTTTAGTTGATACCTGCTGAAGAGCTTATTCCATAGATTTTTATTGCTTCAAATGAGTTTGCTATTTAATCATTCATCTTTTTATGTCATTTTAGCATAGGTACCTCCATGAAATCGCTAAAAAAAGAGCATAGCTTGAAGAAAAAGACGCCAACCTTGCCGAAAACAAAATTTTATTGTCTAAATGTTTGTTATTATTAAGAGGAAAGACCAAAGTTTTTTTTTTAATTATTTTAAAAAAATTTTCCTTCTTTTTAGAACACTCTAAATTTTGATTAAAAAACCTTGTTTCTATTTGTATCTGCGGAACTAGTAAATAACATAGACAATTTTTAGCACGTTTTTTTGGTATGACACACATTAATTTGAAAAATCGTGCAAAAATAGAAATAATTATCGGATGTTAATGAAACTTTCAGTAACTATTCACAGATGATCGAAATTATTATAAATATTTTTTTTTATGAAAGTCATGGTAGAAATATTTTTAAAAAATATTTATCCCCCCAACTAATTTTATGAAAACGCTAGAAATTGATCGCATCGGTTTTAGTGATTACAATAATTAAAAGCACAGGGCTTTGAGGAATGCAAATCATGTTTTTTTTTGTTTTTAATTGGATCCGCAGTACCTGAAAATCAGCTCTGAATTGTAACATACAAAACTCAATAAAACAAATATATTTAATTTCAAATGCTTTTATTTGCTTTTAGTTGTTTTTATGAATATGGACAATATTTTCTGAAAGCAAAAAAAATTTTTTCGATGAAAAAATGAATTTTTAATACAATTATTTGTTATTTCATTAATTATAATAGATTTTACATTTAAGTTGTTAAAATATTATAAAATTAGTTAAAAGTCAGATCGGCTTTCATAAGTGTCCTTATGAGATAGATCTTTTTTAGCGTTGTAAATTGTATCATTTTGACTAATCAGAAGATCAACAGTAATTAAGAAATGTAATTTTGTGCTTATAACCGAGCTGTAATTATAAAGTATGGAAGACCAACCAGAATATAATTAAGTTGCGTTATTTGAGTTGAGCATTGTTCTCCGCTGTTAAGGCCTTTACTTTTGCGAAATGCGTGTGGAGAAGTTAATTTGATTTTTCAATTTCAACTGAGAAGGCTACCTACAAGTATCAGTATCATCTTATGAAATTTATATGATCTTATTTTTATATTAATCTCAGTTACGACATTTTTCCATAAATGAAATATCAAAATTAATAATAAAATGAATGCAAATACAAATAACAGTAAAATGTAATAAATGTACATAAAATTATAGTATTTTATGTACAATTCTGATAAAATTTCATAAGAAAGGTACCTATAAATTAATTAGATACCTTTCTTAAGAAATATGAAATTTAATGTCAGTTTTATTTTAATTTCTTTAGAATATATTTCCCATAAAGCATCATAAACGTAAAGGTGAAAGCTAAGTACAAAAAAAAAAAAATTAGACCGCTGAAAGTTTTCATTAAAAATAACGAGGTAAATAATTTGTTTACGTAAATGTAAATTATTTCACTTTTCTCCTTCCGTAGAACAAATTAGCCTCATGGAATTCGTAAATATATCATTCATCACATGTCAAGAGACACGAAAGTTTATGACCTGCTTTGTTTTATTTTCAAATTACATCTTTTTTGGCACAAAAAGCTAAGTTAAGTTTGGTTCAAAATATTTTAAATAAACATAATTTCTGATTTTCTTAAAATAAGTTTTGAAAAAATGATAATTGATATTTAAAAAAAAAATTCAAAGTCAGATTTCCAGTTTTTTTTTAAAATGGAAAAAAATGGTCAATTTTGCTGACTAAAAAAAAAAAAAACTAGATTTTTAACGAAAATTTGGACGTGCTAGGAACGATTAAAAAAAATGGAAAAAAAATACCCCAAAAATACTTTGACCTTTCCTCTTAATAATAAAACATTTAGACGATAAAATTTTGTTTTCGTCAAGTTTGGCGTCTTTTTCATCCTGCTATGCTCTTTTTTTAGCGATCTCGTGGAGATACCTATTTTAGCAAGATTTATTTTTAACAATTAGGTTCTTTTTTAGTAAGAAGTAGAAAAGTATGGAAATAGTTAAGTTGGATAAAAGTTTATTTCTTCTTTTTGATTTCAGTTTTATTATTCCAAATATACATTTTATGCATTGAAAACTTTTTTACTAAATCTGCATTACCTATTTGTGCATTGTATTTATTAGTTCTTGCTGTTGAATTCTTTATTAAAAGGAAAAATGTATTATTGATGCTTACATATTTTAACCCTATCTTTTAGCGGGCTTAAATCTGGACAAACCTGATACAGTAGAAACAAATAACCTTGAAGAACCAGCTGTCAATTTCAAGATAAATGAAGTCAATATGACCAGTGCTGCTCCTATGGCTATTCCTCCTCCTGCAGCTATTCCACCTTCACAGCCTCCCATGCAAGGCCAGCCTATGCCACGTAAGTACAGTTAGCAACAAATTCATTTGTGAACTTTTACAGAATCTCATCATCATTTGAGAAGAGTAGAAGAGTTGGTAATGTATTTGAAAGCTTATTTTTTATATAGTCAGCCAATATCATTAACATTTTAAATTTTTATTCCTAGAGTTAAATATTCTGAAAGAAAAATGGATTGTATTAATTCAATGTTATTATAAATTTGCTTTTTAATTCCTTAAATTAGTACAATGAATATTGTTTCTGAAATTTGTCTGAAAAGTTAAAATATCATGTTTGCTAGTTTTGTATATTTTTGCGTGTATTTTCATATTTGATTAACAGCAGCTTTGACATTTTAATACTTTTGGTTTTTATTAATTTATGATTTTCTTTAATATAAATTTTAGAAACTGAAAATTAAGGCAAAAAATAAAATTGATATTAATAGTGAATGATTTCTCTCGGTATTTAATGTTCCGCTTTCAAATGGTACTAGATATAACTCTTAAATTCATAGATTCAATAAATGTAATGTCAAGGATGATTTTATTAAAATTAGGCTTGCGTACCACACATCAGTATATTTATTTTGTGCTACAATTTTGGTAATAAAGGTAGATTTTAGGTAGAAACTGCTAAATGAATAGCTATATATTCAATTTTTTTTTCACAACAAACAAATTTTACTCTAGCTGGTATATAAATTGTTTGTAAGAAATATATAGTTTGTACAGGGTCTTTTTAAGAACTTGAAAAAAGTCACAGAAAAACAGCAACAGCCCAATAGTGCCTTGGAATTTTTTACATTGGGCTGCTCACATATTCCCTTTTCTCAGTTCATGAAAGTCAAAATGCCAAATCCCAGAAATCTGTTTTGTTTTTTTTTTTTTTTTTCAAGCTAAAATTGTCCTTTAAGAAAAATATTTCTTTGGTATTTGGCAATTATTGCAAATGGTGGTTTGTTTCTTTGATTAGAACAAGTTTGTGACTTCATGGTTACTTCTGTATTTTCTTGTCTAGATGACAAGAAAGAAAGGGAGGAAGAATATGAAGTTGTGTCTTCTCTTAGCTGCTACCATCACTCAACAAGAAAAGAGGAAAAGCAAAGATAAAAGGTGTCAAAAACAAACATCTCCATCAAAGAAAAATTAATTCACACTCATTGAATTTGTAGTTGAAAAGAAAATAAATTATTTTATAGTAATAAAATACATCTTAGTAGAATGTCAAAAGATTTGAGTTTTTTAAAATTTGAACAATTGAAGAAATTTTATTCACATGTCAATTTCAAAAGTAAAAGGTCCTTTGGATTTTTAGTCAGCAGTGGGTGCTGATAAAATAGATACTTTGCACATCTTGTGTCAGTGTGTATCTGTGTCTAACATGTTGCCAAAAGTAACAAGTTTGAAAATCAATTTTGACTTGGTGTAGACAGGAAGGATGATAGGACAGAAAATGTGTTTTTGAAAAAAAATAATGTTATTTTTAAGATTTGTAGGCTAATAATAACTTCTATCTCTAGCTTTTGTTGTAAATGTAAAAAAAAATGATGAAATAAATTAAAACTTATATGGCTTTTATTGCTTGGCTTTATATTAAAAGTTCAATCTAGCAACCCCGTCTCTTTACTTTTGTATTTCTGCCCTAGATGACTAGAAAATGTACAAACATGTGACTGACTTCTAGACATTTAGACAGATGTCATCAAATTTGAAACAGAAAAATGTCCCCAGACCTTCTCTGCAGTGAATGATATTTTATATTCAGTGAAACTGTAGATGTCTGTTTTGAAAGACATTGAATTATTTCTGATAAAATAGAGTGATAAACTGTTGCTTCCTTTCTTTGCAGATGATCTTTTTAGCATAATCATGAAACTGTTATGTAAAGGAACATCACAGTAAATCACATCTTCTGAACTGAATAAATTTGTAAGAATTGTCAAATGCAAACATGCATAAAGATGCTGCAAAAATCAAGTGTGGATTTCTGGCAGATAGGGCTATGCAAAATTTATCCAAAAAAAGGAAATGTGTCAACAAAAAATCTGTTTCATGCTGAATTGCAACAAAGACAATGTTCATCACCATCATTGAGAAACTTTTGGTAATGTCTCCTCTTAAGATACCCTCTTGTAAGGTCACTTACATGGCTGAACCCTGGATCCATTTGTGAAAAAAGAAATTGCCACAGAAGACGGTCTAAAAAGATGTCTTACCCACATGATGGACAGAAAACAAGTCAGCAAGTCTGGTTGTGATGACATCATCGGTCAGTACAAAGTTTGAGGAGGAGGCTGCTGGAAATATTGCTTTCCAGAATTTCAGCAAGCATGAAGACTATCTGGACACTTTTTTCTAGCAACAAAGAAAATCAAAAACTAGAAAGTTGTTCACAGATTGCTGATACTCTCTAATGGAGAGAGATTTCTCAGTCAATAAGGAAATTTCTACTGACAATATGAAATAGCAAGCTCTGCTCGCACAGTGTATTATCATGGACTATTTGGCCACAGTTGGAGGTGCTGGGCATGTTCCCATGACTAAAGCTCTTCTCTGCAGTGCTTGCAATGCCAAAACAGCATATAACCAATACCTTGAGGCTGGAAACAGGAAGAAGCAATTGGACAAAAACGGAAATCCATGCTTATGGAAATTGAAGAACTGAATACCAAAAACACAAGCTTGAAAGTTGGACACATGATTTGCTCAAGTCAGCTGGCAGTTATATTGAGAAAGCTGAGCAGACTCAGAACTTCACATTTATTTCTATATCTTACAAAGATCTTCAAAGGACAAATCCATAGAACTATCAAAATTGGAAGAGGAGCTGAATGCTAAACTAGATGAAGTGAAAAACATCATTGAAATTGAAAAAACATCCTTGTGTTCTGTGTCATTTGCAACAAAATCCATGAGTAGTAGGGGTAGCTAAAATATGTAGTCTTTTTGTGATAATTTCTATTTGTATTTATGTTCATTTAAAACCATTATACTTCACAGGAAATGTGCAGCAATCAAGAATTTTTGTGACATTTGATTTCTTCACTGCTTTCAACTGATCCCTGTGACATGAATTACTGACACCAGCTCTAGCTTTTCTATAACCATCTCATCTATCAAACTATTAATAGATTAATCACAAAGTTTTTTTTTTTTTTTTTTTTTTTTTTAAATTAATGACCATTCATGTGTGTGTGTGTGAGTTTCAGTCCTTGAAAAATCCTGGAATTATTTTACGGATCTGTGGGAACCCTGTGTATATAAACACAGGTTAAGCACTGTGAAATAAGATCCTAAGCCTAGAAATACCTATCTTTCATAACTTTTTGAAAAATGTCTTTATTATAATGTCTGACAAGATCACAGGCATACATTTTTGCAGTTTTAAACCTCTGAAATATTTCAACAGTATTTATTTTCATTCCCAGTTGTAATTGTGTATACAATAATGGGACATTTCAATGCATACCACCTAATTTAAGCTGTAGTAGATATCCTTCATTCAAGAATATCTTTTACAGAGACTCAGTACTCTCTCTTATGTGATGTAATTTTTTTTTTTTCAGTTATGAGCTAGTCTAAGAGTATCCTATTCTTTTGTTTTGTAGGAATGCTGATGCAGATTCCTCCTCCTGCTGGAATGATGCCACCTTTGATGATGCCTATTGCACCTGGAATGCCGAGGCCTCCAACAACTGGAGTCCCACCTCCTCCATTGGGCATGGCTCCTGCTGCAACTTCTCAGGCACAAGTCTTACCACCAAGACCTGTTCCTCCTGTTCAGACAGCAATGTCTGTGCCATCAGTAAGTCATTGGTTTAAATTTATTAAATTAATAAATATAATTATTTTTTTTTCTTATTTTACTGTTGACTTTTAAACAAATGTTAAATGGATGAGTTATTAGTGAAGATCATTAGTATTTAGGCTAAAAATGTGTTCAGTTAACTATATGACTCCTTTGCATTACATGATGTTGTACCTATTTGTTCTTGTTTATAATTGAAGTTTTCTGATTCTCTTTTGGGAAATAATAAATTATTACCTTATAATGGAGAAAATATCTATTTTTGATCCTAGAATGGTATATCTACAGTGTGACAAATAGGAGTGGTATAACTGGATCTATCAGATATTGACATAAAAAAAATTGTGAAAAATACTTCTGTTTTATTTCATGAAACCTTGAACATTCTACAGTCTTTTTAGTCCCATTAACTGATGAACAACACATAGAAATGAAAAACTAATTTGCTTGATGTAAGTTAAAATTTTAAAAAATGAATTAAGAGATGTACACAGTAGACCTGTTAGACCAAGGAATACCATTCTAGGGTAAATTTATTTTATGATATTGAAATTGTATCCAATTGTTTGCTTACTCTTTTCATTGAGCATTTTCCAAATGCAAGAATATATAAATATATTGCCTAATATTTTTCTTAAATAATAGCTAATTTTAGATAGTTTTATTGTCAGGAAATTATTGCTGTTTATTTTTTTTTTTTTTTTTCTTGTTTAATACATTTATTTTTATTATACTCCTATTTCATTTTTAGATGGCTCCAACAGTTGTACTGACATCAGTGGCTCCATCGACCATGTCCAACCCCTCCATTCCCTCTTTACCTCCTCCTGCTGCTGTCCAATTGTCGCAGGGAATCCAGAATACTTTAAGCAGCGCTGTGACTGTCACTGGAGGTATTACTGTTCCACCTCGGCCACCACCAGCTTTTACTGCACAGATAAGACAACAACCAAGGCCTTTCCCACCACCTTTCCAGCCAGGTGCTACTTTCCGCATGCAGATACCTGACACTGTTAGAGGGGTGGCTGCTGCCAGACCCCCTTTGGATCCAAATATTGCTTTACAAAGTGTTGACAAGGATAAGCTTAATGAGAGCAACAAAGAGGATTGGCTAAAAAGGACGTCTGACAGTCAGAATGAGGTGCAAGATAGTGATATGAAGCTTGAAGTTGGATCTCAGGAGCCAGATACGACTCCTGAGGCAATGCTGCATGCTGCTGCAATGCCTCCAATGTCTGCTGCATTGCAACAAATGTTGGCTCAACGACCACCTCCTAACCCTGCAATGGGACTTCGTCCACATTTACCTCCTGGAATGGGACCAAGACCTGGCATGAATGGCCCTCCAACTGAGCTCCGATTGGCAGGACCAAATGGGCCCCTTTTAACAGGACCTCCTAACAGACAAGCAGCAATAGGAATACCAGGCATGCCTGCTAATATTAGCATTGGTCCTCGGGCGTTGGGGGTTGAGGGACCTCCACCTGGATTCACAGCCACTCGAATGGGATTGCCTGGCGGACCTCGATTTGCTCACGTGGTTTCCTCCTGTGTTTCCAGGTGGACCACCGCCCAGATTCCAAGGTCCAATGGGGGCTATGTTACGACCCCCCAGGCCTGACCCTGAAGGCAGATTTCCTGCTAGCACTTTTAATAAAAATGGTACATTTGAAAGAAGTAATTTTGAACGTCCATCTCGTCCGTTTGGACCTGGTGGTCCCAGAAATGAAAGACCTGGTGGTGAAAGATGGATGGGTAGAGATCGTTGGGGCCCTAGAGATAATGGTCCAGGGATGCGATTCCGTCGAGAATTTGATCAGAGAGAAGAGTTCTTTGATAGAAGTCGCTATGTCTTAGATAACAGAGATCCTGGAGGGGCTGGTGGACGACGTGGCAATAGATTTGAAGGTGAAGAAGAAAACAGTGAACGTTCACATCACTATGATGATGATCGTGAGCGTTCACGCCATGAAGATGAGAGAGACAGATCTCGACGTGATGATGATCGAGAATGGTCACACCGTGACGATGACAGAGATAGGTCTCGACGTGGTGATGACCGTGATCGTTCTCGACGAGATGATAGAGAACGCTCACGACATGATGATGACAGGAACAGAACTCGACATGATGACAGAGACCGATTCAGACATGGTGAAGTTGGCCGAGAGGGTTCAGAAAGTGGCAGATCTAGAAACCGTGAAGATCGACCTCGAAAATCTCGATGGAGTGATGCTGAAGACAAATCTGTAGAGACTCCTATGGAAGTCTCACAATTAAATCCAGCCAAACCTTTGGAAACAGTTCCTGAAGGTGTCGAGGCACCACCAGTTTCAGATCAGATTGTCAGTTCTGAACCTATGGAACAGTGTTCAACAGATACAGTTCCTCGTGGTGAAATGACATTTACACAAGATGCTCCTCCAGCAGAAGAAATGGCAGCTGATGATTATGAAAACCCCAAATCCTTTTCCTCCCAAGAAAAATATTTTGCCCCAGGCACTCGGATAACTGAAACTTACAAACCAGCAAAAGAATTTCCACCTGCTGACAATAACTCTCTTACTGAAAACTTTGGCCCTCCGGAAAACTTAACTCCAGATGAGGCTTACACTCCTGCTGAAGAGTTTGCTCCTCCTGGGAAAAAGGGTTTTACTCCAGTGAAGGAATGTGCACCCACACCAGCAGAAGATTTCACCCCCACAGAAGAGTTGATGCCTTCTGAAAATATTGCACATTCAGTAGAAGAGAGGCCAACAAAATTTAATTCACCTTCAGAACAAATCACTCCAGTTCAAGATATCACCCCTGTTGTAGATACCTTAAAAGAAATACAAGAACCTTGTGAACCTCCTGTACAGAATAATAATAATAATGATAATGATAATGGAGATAATGAAAAAACAGAAATTGAAACAGAATGATAGCTAATTTTTCCATCAAAGGCTTCTTTACACACATGCATGCACACACACACACACACACACACACCCTTTTTTTTTCTTTTTTTCTTTTTTTTTAAACTCCCAAAATCTAAAATCTAAAAATTAGGAATTTTAGGGTACTGCATATTTTCTTTTAAATTTTTTTTTTTTTTAAGAATTTTTAATTATATTTAAAAAAAAATATCTATCCATATGAGGATGAAGATATAAAAAAAAAAATTCCTCTTTCATGATAATTCCATTAACCATTTGAATGGCTAGTGGACTTTTCCTCTGGCCTTTCCTTTAATATGATGTAAAGAAATGCAAATTTTATTTAAGAAAATTGAGGCAGCCCAATTCAGACATATAAATAACTGATGTGCAGTATTTCACTATTACAACATAGATTTAACATATATATATATATAAATTTACATACACACGCAAAGAAACAAAGCATTCTAATGCATCAGTAACCAAATTTAATGATGTAAATTATTGATTGGCAACTGAAGAAGTAAAGAAAGGGAATAATTAAAAGGGAAAAAAGAATTCCAGCCAACTGTTAGACCAATTTTAACATGTTGGATTTTAAATAAAAGTCTATAATTTTTGTATTACCACGTGGAGTGCTGTACTGGAGGTTTTGAGGTGAATTCATGTTTACTCTTTACTTTTTCAACAAGTGACACTTAAGAATTGTCAATTAATTTTTATATTCTGATTCTCCTCCTTTTTATCTAATATATATATATATATATATATATATATATATATATATATATATATATATATATATATATATAAAGGCCTCTTGCCCCAGCCCAAGCATTATATAAAAAGAAAATTTAATTGGGAAAAATTTTGGCAATTTAAGAAAAGAAAAAAAAAAAAAACACACCCTTCCCTATCCCTTTTATCCTTACCTTTTACATTCTCTATATCTTGGAGTCCTGTTGATTTTTGAAGTGAGAAAGGTAGGTAAAACTAGTATTTGAGAAGCTGTCTGTATGATACATGGAGCACATGGAGGATGATGATGTGGAGGAGGGCAAGCACACAAGGACAGATACATCATGCCTGGTGACGATCAGGGTGCGGACTCAGGAGATGTGCTGCGGTTCAATTGGGCCCCAGCACCAGGTATGTGTTGCCTCATTGATTGTACTTGTGCTAAATGAAATCAGAGATGGCCCTCCAACAGTACCTGCTGTTGGTGGTTGGCCGTCTGCATAAGACTTAACTCTTTAAAAAAAAAAAAAAAAAGACTGCAGTAGTGAATCATTTTTGAAAGATATCCACACATGAAAATAAAAATAAAAGATGGAGCAAGAAATTGTGGAGAATAAAATAAAAAAAAAAAATAAAAAATAAAAAAAATGACTTTTAATAAAGTTGATTTGGTAATGCAGATGAGATGGTTGGATTGGCCAGCCGTCTGCCACTCTTGCAGTGTCAACTTGATTGTGGTTCCCTTGAACCACTTGGAGCAGTAATTGTATGTGGTAGTTGGTCTGATCATTAAACCATTCTCATAATCAAGGCTGATTGATTTTATTGATATACTATTAAGTGAAAATTTACAAAAAAAAAAAAATTGCATTTGGTAAATTTTGTTGCATGTTGTGGGGGTGGGGAATTTATTTTTGTCTTTCATACATTTTTGTTTGCGTTTGTGTGTACACGTATTTTTAAGCTAGAAGAAACAGTTCAAAGCTGGCATTAAAGAATTGCATTCTGTTTTTAATATAATTTCTTATTCAGAAAAAAAAAGAAAATGTGCAGAGCCAGTTTTGTTAAGAGTGAGTGGAATCATTTGAGGTGGATGGAAATTTATGGATGAATTAGTATTGCACTCTCTTAACCCATTTTTTTGTTGTGTGTTTTATATATATATATATATATATATATATATATATATATATATATATATATATATATATATATATATATATATATATATATACTAAACAGGATCCTAGATTGCTTAACATGATTCATTAGTTGGCTGTTTGTGTGTATGTGTGTGTATGTAATTATATAAATGGTAGCCTTTTATTTATGCACAGGATCTTATGTATCCATGTAAATATCTATTTTATGAATACCTACAGCATATTTTTTCACTTTCGATTTAATGTCATTTGAAATTAATGAGCATCATGAGGTAAATTTTTTATTATATTTTTATTTTTTTTTTTGCTTACTCATAATTGGTATTTGAATATTGATAAATATTCAGTGAATGATTTTATATTGCAATCAGTTTAATCTTAAATTTGCCATCTATCAAAATGAAGAATGAATGTCTGGAAAAAAAAAAGAAAAAAAAAAAGAGAGGCTGTTGAACTAGGAAGAAAATAGAAAAAAAAAGATAATGGTTTGCAATACTTTGTTTTAATTGTGGGTTTGTTGCTTTGACACTGTTCACCTCCTGCTTATGTATGACAGGTACAACTATTATCTGATCAACTTTTCTCAAGGTACAACAACACCACCACCAGTGATGCAATGGAACTTGGTATACCAATTTGCTGCTTTTCTTTATTGCATTCTTCTAATAGTAGGGCAACTAGGAATTGATTCTGTTTTGGTCTCTTTTTTTTTTTTTTCATTCACATCTCAGATTATTAAAAGAGAAAATAACAACACAAAAAATAAAAGTAATGAATATGAGTGTTTATATATACATACATACATGCATACAAATATATACACACACACACACACACACACACACACACACACACATATATATGCACACATTTCTCCACATATCACTATAAGCATGGGTTTGTTTTGTTTTTTTTTTTTTTACCCTTTTGCTATGAAAAAGTTTTTTGGGGACTCAATATTGAGAACTAATACTGAGATGTATAGTTAGGGATATATTTGCTTTTGATATGATTTGATATTTAAGAATTTTTATACATCCAAAGTATTCATTTGGATGCAGGAAACTTCAATATAGTTTTATTAAATTATTGCATGGATTGTATGTTTTTTAAGAAAAAAAGAAAAAAAAAATAGTAGACCAAATACTTTAGAATTTGATCATTAATTGCATGTTTTAAGAAAAATGGCCCAATTAAATATAAGTAAATGAATTTATCTTATTTGCCTGTAAAGAATTGCCTTCTTTCAGGGCGCCTTCACTTTTGCAGCAAACTTGGGGAATAATTTGGCCAAAGTGGAAAATGCCGTGTCTCATTGCAGAAAAAAAGTAAGTGAATTGATTTTGAAGCTTGGGTAGTTGTGCAATGACAACTTGTAACGACCTGACTAAATAGTTTCAATCTTTTGCAACTTATTTCTCTTGTGGCTTTGTTTACATTTCTTTCATTTAGGTTTTTTTTTTTTTTTTTTTTTTAATTCTATTTTTCAAAATAACCTTTCATATTGGAAATTTTCTAGGATAACTTGTACCTTGAAATAACTTTTATTTAGATTTATCAGTGGACCCAATAGTATCTGAATTCTTAGTTGATGTAAAGTACACTTTCAACACAGTTTTATATGTAAGGAACGAAATTCAGATTTTATAGTTTATAGCATCATTACGTGAATCCCTTTTAATCTCCTACAAAATCATGTCTCAATGTAACTAATTGTACTGGAACACAATCTTTTTAAAAACTTTGTTTAATGCTGTAGCAAATTTGCTTAAGGTGTAGGATTTTCCGTAACAGCAGCTGTCATGACTGGTCCAAACTAATGACTCATCATTTCCTACAGTTTATGCCATTTGAGTAACTGGCATTAACTTTCTAAAAAAAAAAAAATGGTTTAAGACTGTTAGAAGACATTTTTATTTGTCAATTTTAATTATATTCAGTTTATGATGAAAACAAAACTAGATAAGTAAAAATATATACTAGAAACTGTGATCCATCAATTTGTTCAAAATTCTGATGATTCGTTTTTGCTTCAGCAGCCTCTACAAGCCCTTTTGTCTTTCAAATAGTAGACAATACATGCATACTTTTCTTTTAAACATTGGAATTTCTATATTTTTATAGTTAATCCTAGCTCTAGAAATTGCATGTTTATGCTTTTATGATAATTTAAAAATTTTTTTTTTTTTTTTTCTTATAATAAAAATCTTTCTAGTTTGAAAAAAGAAAAAAAAATTTTTTTGCAATTTTTTTTCCCTTTTACCTCAGTTCAAAGTGCATTTTTATGTACAAAATACAATGTATATATTTCTATGGAGGAAAATAAATGTTTTTTTATCCAACTAGAAATCGTTCAGAAATTCTGCGTTGGTATCGTCATAATTTTTGTAGTTTTTTTTTTTTTTTTTTTTTTTAATAAAAAAAAAATAATTTTTGGCATGTTTACAAATAAAAATGGCTATCAGCAAAAAATTTTAAAATATTTTTGTTGTGACAAACAGGTAAAATGTTTTATCTATGTATAAGACTTACCCATATTTACAAAAAGCATCATTACAAAAGTAAATTCAGAGTTGAATTAATTTGCAATATATATATATATATAAATTATCAGATTGATATAAGTTGGCTTCTTTTTCTTTTCCTTTTTTTTCTTTCTTTTTTAATAAGATTGATTAATGAAAATGTTTTTACTTAACCCATTATAAAGAATTTAAGTCTGATTGCATCACCTAGCTTTGAATGACACAAATTTCTGTTTAGCTGAAATCTTGTCCTAAAAACATTATCCTTTGATATGATTAAACAACCCAGATATATGGACATATGCAGAATCACAGGTTAAATCAGCTGAAGACTAGCTTTTGTGTGAACAAGACTTGAACTTTACTTATGGTTATGTTTAAGGCTCTCGTGGTAGGTGGCCTGATGAAGTAGTAAGTGTTAGTTTATTTAAATATTGGTCATATTTACATATATGTGGGCATTTACATATACATTCACCTTATATTAGATGGTTTGAAAATTGCTTCCATCTGTTGTCAGAATTTGTGGCTATAAAGACAGGAATAAATTGTTGGTGTTAAAGAGATTGTTTTGAAATTGGAGATAAAAAAAATGAACTAATCAAATACTGAATGTTTTCTTTTACCTCCAAGTTTATGGATTAAAAGAATTGAAATTTTCTTTCATGTTTCGGGCACTTCTTTTCTTTTTTTTTTTTTTTTTTTTTTTTTTTAAGAAAATGCTGACTTTTATCTTCTCAATTTCACTTCGTGTGCATGGGCTGAACTTTATACTTGTCTGTTTCTCCAAATTCTACCTTGATGTTCAGACTAATTTGTTTCCTTGTAATTTTTTTTTTTTTTTATACTTTTTCTCATATTTTGTCCTTTTTTTTTATGCTTTAAAGTAGTTGCTAGTCACCGTGTCTTATTTTATAGTCATTTTAAAATTTTGAATGCTTTCTCAGCCTCTTTGAAGTAAGATGAAGACAAACACATTTACTTCTAACATATTTTGACATAGGCAATAACATCATTAAAAACAAAGTACTCAAATTCATAGATTGATTTTTGCTGAGTTAATTTTCTTTTTCTTTTTTCTTTTTTTTTTTTTTTGTCAAGATTTTTAATAGCTGCTATTGTCAGAATTCACAAACAAAGCCATATGCATTGTCACAAGAGTCATTTTGGATATTTCTTTATTGTAGATCAGTATGACTTTTTTTTTTTTTATTCAGCTTATATTGCAATATAATTTGGTTCCTCATGGCATGTGTCCTTTTCAACAACCATTTTGTGTCTCAATATTGAGGATCAAACTTGCAACACTGATAATGGTTTGTGAGACTAAATGCTAAGCGTTACTCCACGGCAAGGCGCCCCTAGTTTATATTTGAAGCTTAGTTTAGTACAAGGCTACAAGTTTGGGTCAGTCAATGTGTGAAAACTAGATGTACAACTAATAATTCTGTACTATTGGAAATTCAGCACAATTCTTCAAAGAATGGGTTAATACTGATAATGTTATTTTTTTGGCCAAATTATTAAAAAGGGTCTGAATGAGTTTAGTGTTTTATTATTAACATCTATTAACAACGTTAAGTTGTATTTAAAATAAAAAAAAAAAAAAACAAATTTGTTCATTTAAAATTTTATGGTGGGGAGACTTCACAGTACAATCCATGTGGAAAATTTTTTTTTTTTTTTTGTTCAATTCATTGAAGTCCTACATTTTACAATGCTTTGGTCATGACAAGTTGTCCATAATAGTGGTAAGTATATCCTCTCCTGATTGGAATTGTGACATTGGGATTTCAGCATTTAGTAATAGAAATCA